GCGCAGGAAAGAAATCATTCAATATAATTGCTTGACCGACCACTGAAAGGACTGAATGACTTTCCTCCTTCTTCACCTGACCTATGCAAATATTTTAGGTTTACCGGATTCAAAGGTGAGGAGTGACAAAAGTCTTGATTTAATTACATTTGGAAGGTTTCGGTTGGTTTACTGTTTCACCAAGCTTCACTGAGTGCAAATTGTGACACTGGAGTAAGATGGTTCTGGTYTGGAATACCAACGACAAACRTGTACAGTAGGGCGACTGTGGCTGRGTGGTTAGAGGACTTCATCCTCCAATGAGAGYGTTGAATCCCTCTGTGTGTCCCATCAGTGTATGAATAYGRTTTAAACACTGATTAGTCTCCATTGAATGAACCATCTAAATCACCTTTGTAGAGAGGGGTAGAAGAGTGTTGTGTGAATGGATATGTATGAGGGCACAGAAGTGCTTTGAGTGTCTTGGTTGGATCAAAAGGCGCTATATAAGTACAGTTCATTTATCAGTTGCAGTATTTTATGTGATGGATACAATCATCTTGTAAACAGAAAATAAACTAAAACATTTAAAAAAATCTATTATTACTAACATAAATAATAAAAGCCCATGCACGATTAAATGCAAACTATTTGTGCACTCAGTAAAGTAAGAAACACCTCTGAAGTAGCTGAGAAAAATTTCCAAGAAATAAAATATAAAGTGAAGTTGAGATCTGAAACTGTGATGTAGATTTGTTAATGTTTGATTTTTTAATGCATATTTGATACACTGTATAAATATTAGAAATAATGAGCTGCAGTATAATTTAGGGTCTAAGTATATTCAGCTTGCGTTTTTTTTTTTTGTGCTTTGTTTTACATGGGGCTTTGTGTCCAGTACGGAGATGGCAAGAAGCGGAGAAAGCCAAACTACAGCAGTGTGGATCTGTCTGAGGTGGAATGGGAGGATAAGGATGACACGGTGAGACATCAGTAAATCCACATTAAGCCTCACCACTTCTCGCAAAATCAGGCTGATCTACAAGAGTCTGTGTGTTCACYTTGTGTTTCCAGCTAAGAAACGCCATGGTCAACAGGAAAACAGGAACCTTCTCGATGGAGGTGACAAAGAGCGTCGATAAAGGGGTAAGATGAATAAGAAATTCAGAAAACGACCACCTTTTTTTTTGCTTCCAAAAAAGGTGTATGAGAGAAAACACCCAGCAGTGAGGATCCACTCGACCGAGGTGTTGTTAAACCTGCAGCACAGCGATGCACCGGTTTGACTTGGGGATTTTGTTTCCTGTTCAGTTTGTTTGGCATGCGCTGCCGTGTCTGTGTGGGAGCCCCTTATCTCCACCGAGCACATGTTGCTGAATACAGGAGATTCAGCCTCTCAATGATTCACTAGCCTGTCTCAGATGTAAACTGGTATCCAGGTGTCTCTGTGTGAGTGTGTGTCAGAATCTGTGTGGGTACTTTGCATTTTCTGAGCTTAACGAACACATTGCATTCATCTGATTATTAAGCATTTAAAATGTGAATACAAAACTACACCCAGAGACCCACTTAAGTATATGAACATGCACATATTTATAATCTAAATCTAAATTCACAAACTGCAAAAACACACATTTAACTGCAGCTTTAGATTGAGTCAGTCTGTACCACTAGATGGAGCCATTATATAAGGAATCACATCAGACAGGTGCCATTGTGCTGTTAGAGATTTACAGTAGTGTCTGACTTTCTATTTCAGAAACGGGTTCTGATTTTGCACAATGATTACTACTACACAGACATCAAAGGGACTCCATTCAGGTAGGAAGTACAGACACATTAAATTATTAAAAAAACTCAACACAAATGTCTCACTTTGTTCATTTACAGTCTAGGTGTAGCTCTTTCCAGAGGCCATGGGAAATTTTTCTTCAGAGGAAACGTAACCGTAGAGGAAGGTAGGAACTCTTCTCTTTTTCTTCTTTAAATGTCTTACATTTGTTTGACTTGTTTTTGATTTTTACACACATCCCTTTCTTTTGCTAAAGTAGAGCCAGTTTAACCCTAGCTCAATTGAAAAAACATCTTCAGTTTGTATTCGATAATGATTCACTGAATGTTTAAAAAAAGCTAAACTTATTTCGTGGGCAAAGAAGCTATTGGTTAGAATAAATATTGTGTAAAAAAAAGAAAAACAATGTTTGCTTGAACCCTTTTCAAGATTTTAGATGGTTTCTCTGGTTGGTTGTGCTTATTATATTCTGTTTTGCATAATATATTTACATAGGGCAATGCTGGTAATGAACTGCAGATGAATCATTCTTCAAATAACCACATTAACATAAAAAAATCTGCAGGAAAAAAAACAGACYTTTATGTTAATACCCATCTAATGCAAAACTGGTGGCAGTATAGAGTTTAGAAACTGAGTTTGCATTAAATGCTATGCATTTTTTTAGATCATAGTTGTTTTAGGACAGTAAAAATCATGTTGGCTGTGCTAAGATCAGCTGTCAGCTTCTTCCCCAATAAAACCWCTCACTGATATTCAAAATCAATAATCTTTTTTCTACATCAGGTAAGACAAAGATTATAGTTAACAGCTCTACAGGTTATCATTTAAAAATAAATCTGTTCCTTTAAGTGGTTAAAATCTAAGAAGTAGAAAAATAAATAAATAAATAAATAATTTAATTTAAAAAAAACAAGCTTGAGTTTTACTACAGAATATTTCATATTGTTGCTTTCAAGTAGAATCCTTATATCTCCTAAAAACACAAGTTTTCTGGCAAATAAGAACACATTTTTCTTTTCTGTTTCTCTTGTCACAAGTTCACAAATTCTTTTGAACACTTTGCATTGATTAACCATCCATAAAACCACAGACAAATGGGGGGCCAATAGAATACAAAGCCTAATACTTGTGAAAAATAATAGACATAGAGTTTTGCCCTGACAATGACAATATGTGGAACAGTTTTTAAATTAAATTAAATTATGACTTAGATTTATCTAAAGTTACAATAATACTCCATTACATATTATATAATAATCATGTGAAACAAAGATCATGACATTTTGATTTAGTTTATAAAACATTTCTGTCCTTAGTGTCTGTCTGAACTTAAAACTTATGGGTGTAAATATTCATGTGGGGGTGTCCGTGTCCGTGTCTGTGTGCTTCTCTGTCTGTGTGTTTCTCTAAACATGCCCATCATGCTGAGCTACCTGAGCATGACTTGGTTCTTCCTGATCTAACCAGACCTGTCACATCCATTTAAAAAACACATTTTTCAACCCCCGTGTGTGTGTGTGTGTGTGTGTGTGTGTGTGAGTCTGCATTAGAAATGTAAATGGCTGCCCTTGTCATGAACTAAAAATGGAGACTTTTGTTTGTTACGAGACATTTAGTTGTCTCTTTGTTACAGGACTTCATGACTTGGAGCATCCCGATGTTGCTCTGGCAGACGAATGGTAAATATAAACCGTCTCACTTGAAGAGAACTTTTGAGACTAAATCCTCAGTAAGCAGCCTTTACTTTAAAGCATTTTAATTTAAAGTTTTAAATTTGAACAAACAGAGAGGCTCTGAGAGGTTTAACACATGCTGAACTTGTTTTCTTAATGGTACATTGTAGTGGCCTTCACCAGGAAACAACATTCTAATAAATTACAGAACTTATATTTGTAAATGAAAGCCTACAAAAACCTCTTAGTTTTACTGAATGTTTGATTTTTTAGACTCTTGCCTTCTAAAGTTTGTATTGCACTTGGCTGCACTTGTTAGAGACCAGTTGGCAACTTAAAATTATGAGAAAATTAAGAGAAAATTGGCAAATTTTGTGTTTAATCTCGATGAACTGTCAGTGTTTTGGACCAAATGAACAGCAAACTATCTGTATGTACTTTGAGGATCCAATTTAGGAAAACCACAGCCTATTTTAACAGAAGCTGTGCATTGTCAACTTCCCTTGTTGTACCCACCTTGACCTGTTTTGTACTTATTTTAGCAGCAGACCCCATGATTACAATTTAATCTACTAGAATGCACTTTTGAAATGAAGAATATCAAATATGAGCCACATTTTTAAAATTTTTTTGTTATCAGCATGGTTTCCATACCTGGAAATTAACAGCTGCATACTTGTATATTTTCAAATTACAGCATTAACTTTCTCACATATAGGAAAATACTTTGAGAAAAGTTTCAGATGCATTCACAGCACCTTCAACAACTCCATTTTATTTTAATCTGTTATTTCTGAACATGTTCAAAACGGAAGTGAAAAGACTGCTACTCATTCAATGAAATTGAAAATTACCACAAAATATGTTGATATTTTGGAGACTTTGGAAACTAACTAGTCTTTAACAATTGCAGCCCAGTGAGTAAAGAAAACAGTAAAAACTTTATGTGACATATTCTGAATAGTATATGTCAAATTTAGACAAACGATTCCCAGCACATGGTTTTAATAGGTTTAAAAAGAAACGTATTTGAACCAAACTAAAACTATGTATCTTTTGTTTTATTCTCATCATACTACAGGACGTACTGCAACACAGATGAGCATCCAGAACACCGTTATCTGTCCCAAATAGAAGCAATAAAAATTTACCTCAGCGGACATGAACCGCATTTGCAATGTAATTTCTACTCTTCTAACATTTTGTACTTTTGCTTTTACTGGTTTTGTTTCATGGTTCTGTGTTGGTCATTAACACTATTTTGTGTGTTAAATGTGAAGGTGACAAAGAGCTGATCCAGGAAGTTCTCTTTGACGCAGTGGTGACCGCTCCACTGGAGGCCTACTGGACCAGCCTTGTGCTCAATAAGTCTGAGTATGTCACCCACCTGATTTAACAATTGTTTGATAATACTTGCAGAAATTATTGTCAAGCATTGTCTGTTTTATTTACTTTGCTTACATCAATTTGAGAGATATCCACTTTATGCATTTGTCACAGGAACTCTGATAAAGGTGTGGAGATAGCCTATCTGGGCACAAGGATGGGGCTGTCCAGAATCAATCTGTTTGTGTTGCCTGATGAACTTACAAACCAGTAAGTAAGCTGAGTATAAGAATTTGTACACAACAGCTGCAGTATGTACTGAGTGTTGCAGACTGCCTCAGTTCTTCAGCTCAGTTTAATTGTTTTATGTGTGCATTATTGTCTCTTATCTGCCCCAAGAGACTTCCTAACAGCTGAAGACAAAGAGGGGGTGTTTAACGCTGACCACTTTCCTCTGTGGTATAAGAGGGCAGCAGAACAAGTTCCAGGAACTTTTATCTACTCTCTGCCTTTCAATTCAGGTTAGTTRTTGTTTTTGATCATAGAATAAATCAGGGTTAAAGATTGGCAAAACCATTTYGTCACTGCTATTTCCAAAGGCTGAACGAGTTGTGGCAAAGGTGCTTTGGTACTTTTGTAGGAGTTGTGCAGTACTCTCCTTTGGTTTCATGTTGTGTTTTTCGTAAACTACTGTATATATTTATGCACATTTTTACATGTGAATTATGCAGTGCTTTTTCCTTGTGAATTATGTCTCTCCTCCATTGTTAAATTTGACCTGTGCAGATATGGAGAAGACAGTTGCTATGGGTAGAAAAAAGACATTTAGGAAGAAACTCACTTTTTACCACTAGTCCAGAACACGCCATTCTGAAATGACATGCTTACACACAAGCTTCTCATATTTAGTTTATTTAACAGCGTCTCTAAGAAATGTTGTAGCCTTTAAAAGAAGAATTTGTTCTCATGTGTTCTCAGCCTCAGGCTTTCCATTAGTGCCAGCTAATACAAGTGATCTGAAAGCCTCTTATTTACTTGCCTGGTGTGCATTTGATGCACTTTTACGCTGAGAACTGTGGTAGCGTTAGCAATGATGTAGCACTCTTTGATTTTTATGTCGAGTATTTCTTGCTCCAATCACCATTTGTTTAAAAAAAAACTAGAAAGAGATAATATGCTTGTGGTTTTAACCCTGTGTGTATGTGTGTTTTCCTCCTACGTGTGTGGGTTTTTCTTTTTATCAGGATCCGAAAACAAAAGTGTTGTGTTGGCCAGTACTGCCATTCAGCTTCTGGATGAGAGGAAATCCCCTATAGCTGCAGGTAAGTGGGAATTCAAGTGTCTCTTTCTCTCTCTCTTTCCATCTCTCACACAGAACACTCGTCTACACTGTCAGAGCCGGCTGTATTCTCTTCCTCACAGGACTATGCTTTATATTCCTGCTCTCCAGTTGTCCACCACCCCCTACTTATTTCCCTCCTTAAAGCTGAAAGACTTTCTGCCCACATGCTCAAATAGTGCCACTTTTGTAATTGTATAGTTGCTGCTGAAAAGGCACACCACGCAGTACAAACAGGTTCATCTAAAAGCATGTGTTCTTAAATACAAAGGTGGTTTCATAAACACTATTTGCACATTGGTCTCTGTGCAAAATAAATGCATTTCATGGTCAAAATGAAATGCTGTATCCTGCTTCAGCAGATATAAGTGAATACAAAGACCCCACGATGCTACGCTTGTATAATACACTGTGCACTTTACTGACACCACTGTGGTGCTTTCATTTTGAACATATTATCATATAATTATATACAGGGCTGCACATAATTGGTGCGCAGGCGCGCATGCGAGATCAAAAAAGAAAAAGCGCACCAGATGAAATTTCATAAAGCTCACTTGCATACCTAAGATTGTACCTGATTGTCTATCAAAACAACAGCTAGCAGGGCTCTAGAGTGTGCCCAGTTTGGTCGCAAATGCAACCTGATTTTTAATAAATAAATAAATAAATAAATAAATAAATAAATAAATAAATAAATAAATTCCGGCCACTTAGTGTGACTGGATCATTGTTCGGTGCTCACAAAGCCTCTAAGAGCAGCGGGACCCTGATACAAGGATTAAACGGACACTGCCTTCAACAAATCAGACGAAGTCCTGAGCCATTTTATCCAATCAGAGCAGAGCAGGGCGGGACTTTCAGTGAGAGCAGTTTTCAGCAGAGACAGGTTGAAGCAGCGGCTCGAGCAGCGGCTGCAGTGATCCGTCCTGACATCTCTTCCTACACTTTGCTCCTGAACTACCAGAGACTTTGGTCTGTAAAACATACCTTTATATTAAATATATGTTCAGAGTATTGTTATCAAACAGATCTGTCCAACTTTGTGTAAGTGACTAAACTCTCTCCTTCTGATGAGAACCTGCTGTGACCGGAGTGGTTCGCTGCGCGCAGGCTGAGTCTTTCTGTGAGATTCACGGTTTGAGTTCTTCTAATTAAACCACAATAACTCTAACAGAACATTTGTTCGCCCCATATTAAAGCATAGATAATTCTCTGTTTAACATCACCCCTGTCAAAAAAATATATAGATGTACGTACAGTATAGTTAAAAAATAAATAAAACAACTGACGTGTTCTCTAGGTGAATGCGTTTGAAATGTTATTTTAATTTATCAAAAAGATCCACGAATTTCATTCACAATTTTATATATAAAAAAAGGTTCTTGATGTGCTTGTTTATATTTAGGACCATACTGTGRAGAGTGTGGAATGCTGGTTTAACCAGCCAAAGATCCAGAAGGCCAAACTACAGGATCTGTTCATCTGAGGGACATGTGTAGTCTAAAAGACCTTTAACCATGAAATGTTCAGTTTGCAATGTTTATATGACATACAACGAGCCCCTCTGCCTCTTAGGTAGTTTACAAAATTTATGTAGGGTAAAAAAACTAAATAAAAAAACTTGTTGGACTGATGTGACATGATGCCCTGAGACGTTGCAGCTGATAGGAGTCATTAAACAGAACAGGGGGATATTAAGATGCCCTGACACCCCTCTAGATAAATGTTTTAAATGAGTGAAGGAAACTATAAGCACGAACCAGACAAAAAATTGTATGTGCAACCCTGAACATACGTAATTATATAATTCATTTAAAAAAAAAACATTACCTAACTCTCTTCAAAAGCTTGATAATAGTTCAGTAAAGTTATGATATTCAATTAATTATAATTATTTTTATTAAAGTTTTTTTTTGGCAAGTTATTTCACTTTGTTGTAATTTAAATTTTAAAGGGGACATATCCTGCAAAATACATATTAGCCCTTAAACACATTTTGTTGTGTACTTGGAGATTATAGGAGTGCAAAAAATTAAAATGTATTCTCTCCTGGTGTTGTATAGATGTATTTATATTCTGTTTGAGTCATATTTTTCAACCCATAYAGTTTTCTTTGTTCTCTATTACGTTTGTTGAACAATAACATCACATTATTTGCTGCAGAACTGCTAAACAAGGTCACAGACGTCTGGCTTACTAATTTTAGATATTGTTTGTCCTGTTTTTGTAGAAGTTTGAAGTTCATGTACTGTTTGGAATATTAATATTTGCTAAACTGTCTACTGTACTTAATGTTTAACACACTTCTTTAAATAGTAATACTGTTCAGTCTGTTGTCAACATTTAAGGATAAGTTCTAACAGAATAATGTTAAAGTAGTTAAAACAGACTTGTGAACAGAGGAGTGAAAACAAACAAAAAAATAAGTAAAAGGGCAGGAAAAAAAGAACATAAATTTATGGTGCTTGTTGACATAAATGCAGTGCATTGTGGGTAGTCGTTGCCTAGGGGAAACCACTGGAGCAGAAGGACAATGATGGTAGAGTCTGTGTAATTCTACTGAGCACACACATAAACTCATACAGTTTCTGTATGTAAAAAGCATCAGCTAGCTAACGAACTGATGCAAAGCAGCCTAGAGTTTCCACCAGCCCACAGTTTAATCTGACCCTGCATGCTTTATCATTAGCATTTTCTTAAATCCTGCTTTTCAAAACAAACAATCAGCAAGAAGGCTTTAAGTGCACACTGTGGTGGTGGTGGTGGTGGTGGGTGCTGCTGTGTAATGATGACTACTCTTACCATATATGTTTGTAAAATGATTTTATATAAGAGTGTCAGAAGGAAGGAGAGATGTAGGCTAGAATGCAAATTTAGCGTAGGCTGGTTAGGGCCAGTTTTCACTGCCCTGCGCTCCACTGAGCTGCAGACTTGTGAATACGCCAACACGCTAACTAAACAGGACAGGCTGATGACATCATTCACCACTGGCCCTGCAGACATCACTGGAGTTGCAATTGTTGCGCTGCATGTACATACAGAGCGTGTGTACGGCAGCACGTCAGTTTGTGTGTGTCAGTGTCTGTAGTCACAGCCTGAGCCACGTGAGGTGAGTCCGCTGCTGTAAAACACACAAAGCCATATGAATCAAGTCAGGCTTTAAGACCAAAGGCATCTGTGTACTTACATGTTCTCCAAAGGTTGCTTAGTAATTTAAAACTGTAATAAATCAGAACTGATTCAAATTGTCCCTCTGTTTCAGTTAATATTTAAGTAAAACAAAACTAGCAAAGCTGCCATTTACTGATAAACTTTGACAAAAATAGTGAAGGTTGGTCAGTACTCTTAAAAAACAGCAACATGCATTTAAAATAAAATTCTCATGTGTGTTTTTTGTTTGCTTGTTTTGTTGTTTCCATTATGTTGTAAATAAAAAWTCTTTCACAATTATAAACATTTGTGTCTACCTTTTGTAATTCTTCTTTAGAAGAATTGGTGTACCAGCAAGTTTATTGAATTTGTAGTCAAAAATACATAACTCGTACAGGTATATAATTCCTGTATTAATTGTGTTTATGTTGTAATTTGGTGTAATATTCCATTGTTCTGTTTATTTATTAATTTATTTTTGTATGTGTAATACATTTTGATGAACATTACTATCATAATGTAGCTAATAATACTGTATGTCTCAAGCAAAACAAAAGTGATTCCACGAGAAAAAAAAGTGTGAGTAAATTTGGCTTTGTGCATCAAAGTTTTGGTAGTCAAACAAACAGAAAACGATTGATTCAGATACTGTAGTTTCATTTTAGTTTGTTTCATTATTGCTGTAACAAATTTTGCAGTTTGCCTCATTTTCCAGAACATATTCTTTTAAAAAGCACGTTTTTGTCACAAGCCTATTTAGGTTAATTAGGCACAGACACTTAGTAATCTGTAATTTGTGCATACACAATACATCTCCTTATACAGACACGCACACACATTTCTCAAACGCACACATGCACACACACACACACACACACACACACACACACACACACACACACACACACACACACA